ATAGACATATTGCTGTGGGTAACATGAACATTTTAGTGTTACCATTTTTGATAGTGAACAAATGAGATATTTCATTTTCTAATGTCTACTTAAATTTCATTTCCCAGTGTACTTTAATTTTAAGTAATATGTTGAACAGAAATATTGAGATTAGACACGTTTGTATCACTATTGATTTTAAGGAAATATTTTCAGTTTTTCCTCATTCAGTATAACTTGGTTATAGGGTTTTTGTTATATAAGGATTTTATCAGTTTGAGATAAGATTCTTCTATGTCTGTTCTTACAAGAATTTTTATGAAGGATATTGAGTTTTGTCAAAGGCTTTTTCTATATCTGTTTTAAGGTAATCATGTGAATTTTATCCTTGATTGTATTTATGTGGTATGTTACATTTATTTGTTGATATTTGTGGAGCCATCTTAGCATCCCTCAGGATGAAACTGAGTTGGTCATGGTGAATGATCTTTACATGCACTTTTGAAATCTGCATGCAAGGAACTTATTGAGGACTTGTGGATCGATATTCATCACAGATATTTGTCTGTAGTTTTCTTTGTCTCTTGAGCCCTCACTCATTAATGAAGCACATAAGCATTCATTCTTCTCCTGTATAAGTCAGTAAAATTCAGAAGTAAACCCATTGGGTTCCAGGCTTTTTGTTGCTGTTGTTGATAGAGTTTTTATTACTGTATCAAATTTGTTATAAAATTTTTGTTGCTTTGCTTTTTTGCCCTATTTAGGGTTTTTTAATTTTCTTAGCTCAACTTGGTAGGTCGTGTTTGTCTAAGAATTTATCCCTTTCATCTATATTCTCTAATTTTTGGAAATAAATGTTTTCAAAATATCTTCTGCTAGTCCTGCAAATGTCACTAGTGTCTATTTTAACTTCACCTTTTTCATTTATAAACTATTTTTGTTGACTTTGATCTCATTATTAATAATCATAATCATTTTACCTATCTATTTTCTAAAATCTTTGTCTGGAATTTCACCCACTTCAGTATCAGTGGGATTAGTTTTCAGGGAGTTAAGAGCTTTGGCAGAATTATACTGACTATATATTTTTCATAAGACTTGTGATACTCTGTCAAAGATTATAGAGCAGATAGAAAGACAACCTCCTCCACCATCTTGTGGGGACTTTTGGTGAGTGACTTCCTCTTTTTTATGTGCCCAGAGTATAGGTCTGTCTCTGCAAGAGAGCTTCTGTTTAGTCTGTTCTGAGTGTGAGGTTCAGTCCCTAACACTATTTTGATAGGACACAGTGACTACCAGTATTATCAACAATGGAGAAACTAAACATATACGATATTAAGTAATTAATATCTCTGCTATTTCCCTATCACAGGAAGAGAAAGGGAGAGCAATAATATATATGCTATTATAGTCTAGAAAATTAATCCCTACAAATAGACATAAAAGAGAGGAAAAGTTAAAAGGGAAAGGGAAAAGAATAAAATAAGAAATAAATGATAGAAGAAGATATGTGGAGGGGATTCAGCTAAGCACAAAAAGGAAGGAAATTAAATGAAAGGTGAGCAAAGAGAGAGACTGTCTTCAGTTCTTGAGCTAACAGTGAAAGTCAAATATCTCTGTGAAGCCAGCACTGATGTGGGGATATGAGATGATATAGCAAAACAAATGCATTAAACTAATTCATGCAGTTATCTTTGCATGTGTATTGCAAGACTGATCCTAATAAGATGAAGCAAAATACTAACAAATAAATAAATAGAAGGAACAGGAAAGGACAGGGAAGGAAAAAGGAGACAAAAGAAGAGAAAACAAGCCATACTGTCATGCTGGTTAGGATAACTATCTCAGGGAGGCTGGGCAGCACTAGTGCTTTGGAGAGCCATTTTCAAGAGTCTTTAGCTTCCTTAGAATATGGCTGGTGGGACATCTCCCTAAAGAAAGTCTCAGCCTCAGGCTTTTATCCCCACTCCTGCCCTGATATCTGCAGCTATCTCTACCCTGTCTTTCCCTCTCTGGCTCCGAGCAGGGCTGCTGCTGGCTGAGACTCTACCTTATCCATGATTCCGTTGGCATCTGAGATATGGAAGAGCACACCACCACCTTCCATGGAGCCACTGTCGTCTCCTTTCCTCTGGGGTCTATCACGCCAGCTTCCTCTGGGTGCCGGTACCTGTAATGCCTGGTGCCAGGGAATCGCTAGCCCAAGGCAGGATCCACTGGTCCATCTCACTGTAGCCCATTGCTTGCTACCTGTAGTTCCACGGGTGCCCACTGAGCCTCTGTCTGACTCATTCCTAAGGTACCCAGGGTAACCCTTCTTTCTCATGCCATGCGCAGCACTTGATGTTTCTAGCCTCAAGCCTCTGCCCTCTAGGTGTCTCTCTGCATCACTGTCCTTGTAATGCCTGGCTCCTGAGTGGTTTACTTGGGCAAATGCTTCAGACCCCAGGCCCCATGTCCTGGTGGTAGAACTGGCCAGTACTTCCAGCAGTGGTGTCCATGATGGTCATTGAGCAGAGGCTGCCTCCATCAGCTTCTTCTCCTAGATAGCATTGTACTTTTACACAATGGTGCCCTCCAAACCTGTGCAGCCAACAGCACCAGACTCCAGTGGTGGTTCACTTCTTATTCTCATTACAGTGATCTCCAGATTTCACCTGTTCTCTAGCTCCTTAAAGCTTTCTTTCAGTGGTTGGTTTTCCTGCCATATGTACATTGAACTTGGTGAATGCATCAGAGTGATCTGCAAGTGCCCTTCTGTCCATCCTACCATAATAAATCTCCACGGAAGGCAGCTTTCAAATAATGAGACTTGCAATGATTGTCAAAAATGTCCTATTTTTTGATATGTTAAGAAAGGTTTTAATAGGCACATATCATTTTAATGACAGCATCTACTTTTCTTTCAAAATTAAAATAAACCATGTATAGATTCTAACTGATTAATTCTGGGAGACGGGGATAAGGATTACTGCTATATTCTTCTTCTGTGTAAATTTCTGTGTGTTTTTCATCTTAGAACCACAATGTAAATGGTGAAATGTCCAAGGCAATTATATACTATTGTCTCTGAAATCTTCCAAATGTGTTCGTTCACATGCCAAGCCATGGAAATGATCAGAGAGAGAGAGACGTAGATTAAGTCTGAAGAATTGGAGCAAGTTCTACAATCTGTGTAGCAGTGATTCGTTCTTGAATGTATGTCTCAGCATTATAAACTTATCATGTATATGTTTCTTCTGCAGAAGAGGAGGCCCTCAGGAAAGGAATCTGTCTCCTTTCTTCTCTTTCAATGAGCTCTGACACAGTATGAGTGCTTAAGAGTTGCCTGAAAGGATACAAACTGTCTCAGCTCTATGAGTGGCCAGTTGGAAGATCTTTGCCTGACGGCTTAGCTTGGCCATGTAACATCAGAGTGTTCTGTCTGATAAGAACATTTTCTATCACTGTCTTCATAAATAACACGGTGTAATCTGCACTGATCTGTGACTCGGATCTCCAGATGTCAGAAATCTTTCGAGACTTGGACTCAGCATAGGCACCTGGGTCTCTTCCAAATAGAAACCGGACTTCAGAGTCTCATCATGTACTTCATTTAATTACATGCCAATTCTCAGGTCTGAGTTTCTCATGATGGTGATGGACCCCTCAAGAAAGCTTACAGCATGGTATGAGATGCCCTGATATTTTAATGTGGCTGAGAGTGATGAGTGTTAGATGTAATTTAATCTATAGGAACTAATAGTTTTTGAAATAATGGTGCCTCTTTACTATCAACAGGAAAGCTACTCAGAATAATTGAACACATATCCCAACTCAGAAAATTGTCACCTCTTTTATGTCTTCTTGATTAAAAGTCTGGAATGATTGGTTCACAATTTCAAAACACCAGTGGGCTACACATAATTATGGCTTAATTTAGTGTGCAATTTGTAAATTCTTAAATACATATAAATTTTTAAAAAATGAGTATAGTTCCAAGTATACATATTTTTACATTTTTATATCTTAATGCCTTTATATATTAATATATGGATATACAAGTTAATAAAATACTCTAGTTCTAAAGGTCATAGGGCAAGGGCACTGATTTTGGGGACCATTCACTGAAGAAAGGTTCAATTAGACTATGAAGAGTATGTTGGGGCTCCTCTGAACATAGAGAATATTTTACCCCAAGATTCACTTTTCTCCATGGAATGGTCTCTGTAAAATGCAGTCAGACTTCCTGTGCAAAGATCAGTGCACTTAACCTTTTTGTCTCCTCCTGGCTGCGGTATTGCATTGGGCAAAATTTGCTCCTGGAGCTCAGAGGTGATCTCAGCTGGAAGAGGCCCCAGGAAGTTCCAAGGATAAGAATAAATGGTTTCATTTGCTTGCTTTACTTTGTGTTTCTTTTCATTTGAAAAACTTTTATTGAGTTCTATTTAAATACCCATGACTGGCTTAAAAGAAGCAATATATATATTACCAGTTATGGTATTTATAACAGTATCTTGAAAGAAATGGTAAAGTCTGGGGAAGGTTGCACACCACACCACATCATGCCACATTGTGAAGTCCAGGGGTGGACAGGAAGCCACTGCTCTGCTGGAACGCACACCTCCCAGTGATCCCAAACCTAACACTGGTAAAGAATTGAAGAAGCAGCTTCAAATACCATAATGAATTTGAAGATGGGAAAGGAAAAAGAGAGAGATAACAGACAGCTTCTCTGGATAAGTAGAATTCAAAAGTGAGTAATTGTGGGTTTCTTGTTTGCAGCTCCTTTTATTGACATCTTTGTCCCACTTTAGGCTTTTGGAATCTGATTGGCTCCCTGGCTGTCTTTTAATGTAACCTTGGATTTCTTCTGGTGATTCAACCTTTCCCTGTCCTTTGGTGGAGGTAAGATTATGGGTTGGAGCCTTATGGACAGGTCGCATAGGCTAAAGTATTAAGTAGAGGGGAAGTTTGCTATTTTTTTAGGCTAATTTATCTTTTATTGTAATAAATTAAAGAAAGACATTCCCTGCATTTTTTAAAATATAGACTACCTCACAAATTCGTGTCATCCTGGCACAGGAGCCATGCTAATCTGCTCTGCATATTTCCAATTTTAGCACATGTGCTGCTAAGGTGAGCACTGTTCTCCGTATTTTTTTAATCACATCTGGTACTGCATGTCATTCCCACCCCGTTATAGTTACATCTTGTCACTGCATTCCAAATGCAAGAAATAGAGGAGTCCGATTTGTTTCCAGGCTTTTTTTATTTTATTTTATTTTTTTGGTAACCTTGATCAAACTCGTGTCCTTGAGCTTGCAAGGCAGGCGGTGGAAATGCTGAGCTAAATCCCTGGCTCTGAGGAGTCGGATTTGAATTAGAAAGTCCAGCTCTAACATGAACTTGAAGGTACTTTGGCTCTCAGAAGGCAGGGCCTGGACCACATGAAGTTCCTCCCTACACTAAAGGCCAAGAATGTTCTTTCCTCACTGAGGTTCCCCAGAGCACACAGAGCTAAAGCTCCCCTCTGACCAAGGGCCTCAGAGAGCAGATCACCTGCTGAGCAGTGAGGACAATCAAAGAAAAAATGTTCATTCTTAAAGAAACAATATTTTAATAACTTTCTAGGTCTTTTGTCTTTGCAAGCAAAGGAATACTTTTATTAACATGTTTTTTTTTTTTGTTTGTTTTGTTTTTGTTTTAAACGTGGTAAGATTTTGGCCTCAAGTACTCATCAGGTCTTGTTACTCAAATTTAAAGCCAGACAACATAGGAACTTCAAAGATTCCTCTTCACTGACCAATTTAGGTCCAGCATAGACAGTTCTATGCTTTTCTTTGCGGCCTCTCAAGGGTCTTTGCAAATAGCTTTTGTTTTATGCCCAGAATCCGCATTACACCAACTTGTGCAGAATGTCAAGCTCTCATCGCCTATTCTAGGTTCCACTGGAAATAGAGTTGAGTTAGGTTGTCCAAACAAATTCACCAGGCAGGTTGCATCAAATGGTATGTCACACAGAATTTAAATTTTAAGCAAAATACATCTCTCCTCCTTTGGTCTCACACAGAAATGAAAGTTTGTCATTCTTCTGTTAATCTGCTACCTAGGGACTTCCTGTCATTAGTTCTTTGTCTTTGGTTCCTAATTGCTTGATTCTAGCTGCCTTTGTCTTTCTAATTCCTCAGATAAGAGCTTCCTTTGCCCTTCTAATTGCTGGAGTCTGGCTGCAGAGGTCAAAATTGCCTTATTATTATTATTATTTATGGGGGGGTACCAGGGATCAAACTCTTGCTCTTGCGCTGACAAGGCAGGTGGTGAAAACACTGAGCTAAATCCCTAGCCTTATTAATTTTTAATAAAGTTCAATGAGGGCCTTCATCCTATCTTTTCCTACCTACAGAGCCCCTGTTCCCACAAAATGTGAAATCCTATAACAACAATTTTTTGAATATGTTCCATGTGTATCATATCCCAATTTGCTAAGCATTCTAAGAGTTATATTTCTAGCAAGGGCTGTAAGACACTCTTCTGTTTGAAAAGGTCCATATCTTCTTGATACTATAAAGTTAACTGAAATAAACTAGACACAGAAGCTTAAGTATCACGTGGTTTCTCTTATATGAGAAACCAAAGGTAAAAATAAAGAACAAACTAAAAGATAAATGGTAAGAAGTAGGGGGATAATTTGTTCTCAGAGGCAAGGAGAATAAATTATGGAGGGATAAAGGAGAAAGGGAAGGGATGAGGAATGAATAAAAAGGAATTAAAATCTGTTGTGTACATATACTAATTCCACACAAGGATTGTAAACATTACGTACCTGTGAAGGCATCCTGCCAGACTATTCTAAAGCTGAGCCTCCCTGGGTGGCACCTGGGGAGGGGTCTGTTTAGTCCATACAGTCCTTTGTTATGAGTTAGTTAATTCCCCAGTAAGAACAACACATGAAGAGCGTCAGTCATCACCATCAGGGCAGCATCTGCACCTAAGAGCTGGTGCTCTCTTCTGCTGCAGAGCTCAAGAGCTGCATGTCTCTTTATTACTTCAGCTAAAACAGCAGCTACAGCTACATAGCAATCACAGCTACTAAAAGGTTACTGTGTTATTTAGTTCACAGCAATTATAATCTTATCTGCTTTCTGAGACATGGTGAGAATAAACACCACGTCGTGCATGCATAGTAAAGTATGTTAGGTCATTCTTAGATAACTGTGGCCTGTTATGCACATGTCCCTGCAAGCAGAGTCATATCCTTATGTGTCCTCAGGTTCACTTAGGTCTCCCAGTCTTTGAGTATAATCAAAAGTGGTACAGCACAATATCAAACACACACACACACACACACACACACACACACACACACACGAATGGAGAACACAAACAAAACAAACTCTCCAATGATCTGGGTAGGGTCTGTAGCACCTCAAATGCAAAGAACACCTTACTTTAAGATGATTTACACATCTGTAATGTAAGCATTTTCTTATATTCATTTTTTTAAATCAAAATATGTCCTAAAGTTTGGCCTGCTGTATTCTTTAGTATCTATTCTTACTCCTTTTATTACAAAGCCCTGGAGTTATACTGAAGTGAAATTATTGGAGATGATAATTACAGGGACAGAGGGTTACAAATTGTGAAGTGCAAAAGAAACCTAGATTTACAAATAAATGTCAAAAGATAAATTCAATTAAAAATTACACAATGAAGGAAGAGGTTCTGAGAATCTGCGCAAAGAATGAACAGAAGATATACAATAGCTATATGAACCGCAAAATTTTAGCATATTAATATTCTACAAGTGAAAAATCTAAAGCTTCTGAAATCTTTAACAATCCTCTCATTTAAAAGTGAGAACTAATTCATATCTATTTGCATTTTGCCTGACCTTAGTAGCTTTTATATAATGAATAATTGAGGTTAAACAATGTAGTGAGGTATGAAGACTCCGTTCTTTCCCCATCAACCACTGCCCAAATTGTAGATTCAAAAGCAAAATAAATATTGTTATAATTTTTATCACAGAACATGTCAGGGTCGTTTGTTTTGCCAATAAAAATAACACAAAGTGCAAGGAGGAAGGAAGAGGGATGTTATCACTTGCAAATAATTTTAAGGCCCTAGAGTTCTAGAATTGAATCAAATCTCCACTGTTGCAGACACTATGTATGGTATATCATGGGAAGGAAATAGTGTGTGTAAGTGTGTGTGTGTGTGTGTGTGTGTGTGTGTGTGAGAGAGAGAGAGAGAGAGAGAGAGAGAGAGAGAGAGAGATAACAGCAAACGGATTTTGGGTTGCAGTCAAAGCTTAATGTCTTCCTCAGTCCGTGAACTCACTGGACTGATAAGCCTGTCACCTGAACTCTAACTGACTTCATACAAGGAGACTAAGTTCCTTAAGAAGAACTTGTTCTGTTCCTTCTGTGTCTTCCCCTTACACCCATATAATATGATTTTTTCTCCATGGACCCCATAACATTGTTCTTGGAGACTGTTCTTTTATCAGAATAATAAAGTTTCATGTGGCTGTGACTGTGGAAAGATTCCAGTTTCTAGCACCAAAGAAGGCTCACTGTGCAGGAGAAAGTCAAAATTAATTCAGAAGCAATTATATTTCCCATTACTTTCCCAACTAGATCAGGGTTTCCAAGAAACTTCATTGTGCCACACACCTGCACTGGCTGCTCTAGTTCCAAATTCATAGATGTTCTGAAGTATAGGCTAAAAGCACGGCTGAATTCTATGGACATTAATCTCTCCACTTTCACCTTTAAATTCAATTCACCTTCTTTTCCTATTAAAACCTGGATCTGACTAAATCATCTTCCTCTTGCTCTTTTAGTCTCTATGGCACTGTATCTGCACTATTTATTTTACTTTTTCACTTTTACTTATTTCTCCATGCATAGATAAGAAATTTTAAATCACCAGATATGCTGGCATTCCTTCCGCTTTCTTTATACATGTTTGAAAGTATATATTCTATTGGTATTTGGCATGTTCTATAATCTAGTGTGTTAGTTAATTTCCTACCATTCAGACAAAATACTTGACAAGTACAACTTAAAGGAGAGGTATGTCTGTTCATAGTTTTACAGAGCTCAATCTGTGGTTGGCTTGCTCCAAAGCAGAAAGGGCATGACAGTGGGCTGGTAAAGGACAGCTACTCATCACATGGGTACCAGGAAGTAGAGTGACTATAAGAAAGGTGAAGTTGGGGGCAAGAATACACCCTTCCAGGTCACAGCCACCAGTGACCCACCTCCTCCCCCAGGACCCAGCTCCTAACAGTTCCTTCAACTATGAATTAATCAATGAATTAATCCACTGATGTACAGTAAACCAATGATCTGATCACCTTTCCAAGGCCCCATCTCTGAATGTGTGAGACTTTTGGGAACATGTTAGATACAGGCTATAATTATTGGCTTTTATGTCTCAAAATATTGTGACTTAAAATAGCTATGCATTTGGCTTAAAATTTTGTCATTCCTCATATTAAATGAAATTAGATGGGTGGCCTCAGAAAGTCAAAAACTGCATGCTTTCTTTCTTATATGAAATCTGAGAAAAATTTTGAAAGGAAATTACAGGAAAGTAAAAGTGATGCCATTAGAGAAGAGAAAAAAGGTCGGAGGAAGAGAAGAAAAGGAGAAAAATGATAGGATAGTGGAGGAGAGAAAAAAATTAAAGTGTGTTGAATGTATGCATGAGCTACTTAGCCAAAAAAAAAAGAAATCCACTACTCTGTAAACCAGTATGCACTAATAAAACAAAATAACAAAAAAGCAAACAAATCTATGCAGTAAAGATTTTCTATGACTTCAAGAGGGTGATTCTCTTTTCTTCGTCTTGGCTCTCTTATGTATCTATGAGCAGCTGTGGAATCATGGAGTCCAGCAGGGTAAACCAGGTGGAAAAGAAAAAGCCACATGACACAGGCCAAGTTAGAACCATTAGTCCACCTCAGGCCACAGACACCAGAGAGGACAGTCAGAAGATCACTCCTTGGTCATCCTAACTTTTCTTAGAATGCTAATGCAAAACATGAATCAAGAACTAAGCAGTAGACCAACATTAAACATTGAACAACAACACATTAAAAACACTGTAATACCGAGGCCTCTGGGCCTCCTACCCA